AAATAATAAAAATATAACCACATTTCTGTTATAACCAGTTCTCCCATTAGTTGTCTACATTCAGGGTGCGAGTTAAAAAACCTGCGCACCAGCTCGAGTCGCTCACCGACCATCTTGCTTGAAGAATCAAAGTCAGGGGATGCAAGCTCAGGAGGGAGGAACTGAAGGAGGATTCTCTCTCCAGAAAGGAAATTAATAGATGGCCAGGATTTGGGGAGAGAGAAGGCAAAGAGTTCTCAGATATGGAGGAAGAACTGTTGCCTCTGCAAAAAGAAACTGATGGAAACAGACGGACTGAAACCAACCAATAGGTGATGAGAAAAAGAGAGCAAGAGGAATGAAAAGACCCAAAGTAATTAAAAAGATATGTACAAACAGGATTGCCTTGCATTCGTTTTTATGCTTTTAATTCAGTTACTTTCTCAATTGTTACAAATTCTTTCAATATTAAATCTGTTGTTTTGCTAAATGAAGTTAGTTTTAGCAGATAACAGTTATCAAATTTTTGGTGAACATAATTTGTATTGCCCTTCAAATACAAAATTGATATTACTTGCCAGTTACTGGTAGGTCTGGAAATTTGAGTTATTTTCCCTGTGTTGGCGATGGACTGTTCCGCCTGAGCCACTGGCACCCCTTTCAAGGTTCACATTGTGACTTGATTGCATGCATTTGCAAGATGATTAGCTAAGGTTAAGAGTACAGTCTGAGACAATGGAACAGATTTTTTTTCTTTATGTGAAAAATTACTAGCTTATAGTAGCATTAAATTATAATTTCACTCCATATCCTAAAAAATAGTGTACAAACTCTTAAAATCTGATTTTATCGGGCAATATCCTGAGATGTAAGAGAAGCCCGAGTCAGGTGAAGCTGGGCCTAACACAGCCTCCTGTAAGCCCACTCCACAGCAGTCATAACAACTACCACCCTAAAGCTGCATTACTTTGTCCATGTCTCTTGAGTCCGTGCAGTTATTAAGTGTTTTCCTCTAAGGTGTGTAGAAGGACAAAAACACTTGACTTTGGAGTCAGACAAACCTGGGACGGAATCCTGGCTCTGTCTAGCTGTAAGATCTTCTCGAAGTCACTGTAACTTGTAGATAATGAGGTCTACTTTCTGGAGGTGGGGATAGGAGAGGTTAATGAAATAGCCCACGTAAAGAAGGCTGCCAAATGTCTGGTACTCAATAAATGTAATTTGTTTCCTGTGGATGCGTAGAGGAGAATATTTCCAAGAGAGTTAGCATTAAACAATCAGGTCTATCTAAAACACTCAATTATCAGAAGACTTCAATCTCTCTTACTCTGGTTTTTTTCTTTTTTGTAATGTTATAGTCCAACTGTGTCCTAAGTATGTAAGTAGGTACCATGGAATGTAAACAAGGAAACAGAAACATATTGAATGAATAATATATGAAACAAAGCTGTGACTCACATAGATGAAATAGCTGCACAAAATAGTTAACAGTAAAACATTTAAAAAGAGACTTAACGTAGGAATAAGCTATTTTAATCAAGCAAAAACAAATTTATATTCATTATTTCTAAAAATAAAATTAGACTTTTCCAACCCTTAACATCTGCATTTAATAATATCTTCTAACCAAAATACAGATGCTAAAACAGCAAATTACAATATATCTTGTACAGCATACAGATGTTCACTGTTTACACTTTAATTGTAGTTGGTCGTTATGTACTCAATGCATACTTAAACATCACTCATAATAAAATTTTCACAATTAACAAAAAATGTGACAAGGCTGTCTTAAAACGGCTCTGCTATAAATTGTATAGAATATACAGAATTACAAAGTCAAGTATTTTTTTTATCAAAATATACACCCCTCCCTGAAACTAACACAAGCTATCAACATTTTAAATGAATACAATTATAGAAAATATCTGCAAAATTATTTTTTCATGTATAAATATTCTGCCATATTTACTTTGGTCTAGAATCATTAGCATACAAGTCCACTTAAAAAATATCCACATGTAAGGGCCAGGAGACATCACTACATGTAATAATTTTATATTTGGAGTTATCTCAAATCAAAATGACTAGAATACACAGTAATTCTTCTTGACTCATAATCCTGAGATGAAACAAATTAGTGGATCACAGGATTGCTTATTCAATATTCTAATTATCAATCAAAAATGATTTTCATAAGCCCTTTGTGACTATGTCTTTAACAAAACCCAAATGAATAGTGCAGGTATACATATATACAATGTATAAAATAAAGTTGAATTCGCTTGCATTTTCTCATTTTCCTCTATTATATAATACTGTATGTAAATGAAAGTAGATGAACAAAAGATAAATGCAGATACAATATTGGGGTTACTTAACAGTAGAGTACTACAGTATAAAAAGTTCAACTTTAATCATGTCCTTTTCTGGGTGTTTAAACGCTTTCTCGCCCACCCAAATCCATACTAAATCTTCTTCATGGAGACATCACAACACTTGCAGAGGGAAACCAGAGTCCTTTGAGCTACTTCTTCATAATGATAATCTTCCAACCTTGGATAACCTTGTTTCCATCTATCACATCCAATGAACATGAATGACCACAGGTCCCTCTTAAACTGGGTTTTGGATTCTGCTCATACTGGTGATAAAGGGCAGGTATGTTTTCTCTCTCCCTCTTATTCTGGCAGTTTAAAAAGTAAGAATCACAAGTTCCAGCTTTCCAGGAACCTAGTCCACATGATGGAATATCCTGTAGGGCAATCAGATTTCGAGGGCAATGTTGATCGTGTGTGTCATTGTAAAAGAATATTAAAAAACTGGAGTGGGTTTTTAGCAAGGGGACTAGATGTCTGTGAATATGAAAACAAAGCATCATGTTTTGTGGATATATTTGAGTCGTATAAGTAAGGGATAAAGCCTTGTCACTCCACATTCCACTTCCCCACTCTCCCAAAACAAAACTACTGTTTGAGGCAAGGAAGGTCATCACTTCCTCTCGCCTGCTCAAGTCATTAATGGGTGGGGTGGGGGTGGGGTTCTTTTGTCCTTTTGTTTTATACTAGTGTGATTATAGGTCGCATAATCTCCAAGAAGGCTAGTGATGGTAGAGATTAGGCTTTCTGTTACTTTCAGTTGCCTGGGAATTCACCACCACGTGTGTGCCATGTGCTAAGTCTCCTGGACACTCCTTCAGTGGCATGGGAGATGTCAAGTTTTACTTTAACCCTTAAGTCTGTCTGGCATAGACGCCCACATCCATGGCCTTGTGATGGCTGGAAGACTGCAGAGAGTTTCAGAAGAATTTGACCCTTCCTCATTCTCTGAGATGAGGCCATTGCAAAGTAATGTATGGCACAGGTAACCACAGGTACATTCTGAGAAGACTTTCCCCCATAGATAAGGCATGACCTATGTTCTCTGTGACTTGCTTGAATAGACCAGTTCTCATAACAGCTTAGCCATAACTGCAAGAGAACAGCATTCCACCTAAAAGCATACACATACTCTTAAGTCATACTCAAAATGCTTTCTTCTGATTTTTACATCAGTCCTCATTATTTGCAGATCTATTGCTCATCATAATTCTCTACAGGGGATATGGACAGTTAAAAGTTATTGATTTATATATGTATTTTACAAGATTTGTGTTGCAGAAAAGTTCTAGAGAATGTATGAATGTCCTACTTTAGGTTACTCATTACACACATATTTTCAGTTATATCCTTACGTGTCTCATATGCATCCATTAATTTAAACAAATTTTAAAAGCACAGAAGCCAGACGGGAATTAAAACTGTCATAGCTCATTTACCATTTAACATATTTACGAAGATGCCATCTTCATGATATCTGACCCTATTTTCTCCAGTGACTAAAGACAGTTCAGCAGCCAGTTCCTATTAGCATTTACCAGAAAGTTTTAATTTAGGCTAAAATTAAACTCTTTTTTTCACTGGTTGAAATACCACAACTAAGAACTTCATTAACTTTCACAAGATACTTGGGATATTGGAGGATCCAGCTATTTTGTTTTTGTGCACTTTGCATAAAGTTAATGCTAAAACCCAAAGTAGATATTAGGATTCTTTTTGTGGAATTTTCACAAATGAGATTTTTTTTTTTTTTTTAATTTTTACATTTTACTCCTTCATGACTGTTATGTGAACAAAACAAACAAACCTAAAAAAAAAAAAAAAAAAAAAAAAAACCCCCCCCCAA